TCTTTTCTTCTTTGCTATTGTTTCTAACGTATTTATAAGGTACCATGTGATTTTTTTGTTGCTTTCTATGTCCCTCCCCAATGGTATAACCCCTGTTTTCACTGTATTTGATGTTGGTATAATTTGGGGAGGGGAAGGGAAGGGAAAAAACAAAATGTTTAAATAGGGATACAGATTAACCCATTGCTACAATGAGATGTACAGACGCTATGTCAAAAAAATGAATTTTTACAATTTAGGCAGGGAGAGGGTATGGTGGTGGTATGTAGTTGAGGAGGTGGGAGGGAAAAACAAAGGGATGGTAGGGGAAAAACAAAGGAGGAGGCAACAATGCTTGATAAGAAATGTACTCATTAACTTGCTCATGTAACTGTAATCCCTCTGTACAGTATTTTCACAATAAAAAAGTATTAAAAAACTCTTGCCCCCAGGGGGCTTACATTTTTAGAAATAGGGAGGTCTATATGAAGAAAACTATAACACTTGAAGCAATTTTTCTGTCTTTTTAATGATTCAAGCTTGGTCCTTATGTTTGGTAGTTAAGTAAGTGCTTGACCACTGAGCTATACTTAACAAGCCTCTACAAAATTTCAGAAAGACATAAGAATTAAAGGAAAAACCACAACAAAAACAATGCATCTTAGGAAGATGACCATTGTTGCCAACTCATTCAGTGTAGTACAGAATCACAAGGTTTTTTTTCGGGGTGGGGGGAGGAGAAACAGGGAAGACAATTGGATAAAATGTTCTTAATGTATGAACTATGAGCATGTTGAAAAAGATGAGGCTATTTGTTCTACCAGAAATCAAATATGCTATAAAACATACTATAAAACACAATAAGTAATAGACAGGAAGAAACAACCTAGCTTGTATATAAATAGGCCTAGAGTCATCCCTTGGTAAATCACGGTGCCCTTATGGTGGCTGATGAAGACGCTGATGAAGTGGTGCCTTCACAAAAGTTGTAATGCTCTTCTCAGCTGTGCAGTACATTCATCTCACCTTCATCACCATCCGTACTGCGCAGCCATGTGATTCATGATCTTCATCCTTCAACTTGTAGTATACTTCACTGGTGAGTACCCACATAGAACTTTATGTTGTTAAAATTATATAGGTTTAAGAATGTGGAAAGAGGGCTGGGAGGTTGGCTCAGTGGTAGAGCGCTTGCCTTGCATGCATGAGGCCTTGGGTTCGATTCCTCAGCACCACATAAGCAGAAAAAAGCCGGAAGTGGCACTGTGGCTCAAGTGGTAGAGTGCTAGCCTTGAGCTGAAGAGCTGAGGGACAGCGCCCAGGCCCAGAGTTCAAGCC